GGGATAGCAAAAGTACAATGACACATAACACCTCACAGAGCATGGTTGTATTGTTTTGTTCCAGACTTTCATGTATTGCACAAGCAGTTAAATCTCAGTTTAATTTATTTAATTTTACTTTCATATTATTTTACTAGAAATGCTATGTAGAGAGTGTCTTAAAGATCCCCTCCAAACATGTTTTTATACATGAAAAGTCCTCTGCTTTGAATAGAAATTCTAAAAGAAACTCTTAAAATTACATCTACTACTATTCTTTCGCCCTCGTAGAAAATATGTGTTGTTTAAAAACTAGGTTATTTTGACTCTTTGCCAATGTCCACTGTAAAGTGCACTATTTGCCACACTGGGATCAAAAACCTGACAGCTAGCAGCAGTAACTCAGGGGGCGGGGCTTAGTAAACTTTGTTTAAAAAAAAATTTAATTGTTCAAATGTTACAGTACACCATTAATCAATAAGAAAAGACACAACAGCCAAAATGAATATGAAATCAGATTTATTCCAGACATTTTGGTGGTACAAATTCATAATAAATCTGGTTGTCCCAGTCAGCCTTATCCATGTTTCTTTATTATTCAGAGTGGAAATGGAAGTAAAGCAGGATGAGAACACCATTTATATACTGGAGAGATCATTTTCTCTGATGAAAAAGAAAAAGAGGATCCCAAAAATGAAATATGAAAAGTGTTATATGTGGCTGCTTTTGATGATGTTAAAATTCACAACAAGATGACAGATGTGAGACAACAGAAGAGACATTCCAGAAAGGATGAGCTGCCTGCCATGTATGCTTTATAAGACTGGCTACAACATCCGGACCTCCTTCTGTGCAAATCTAACAACTGCTGTTGTCTTTTTGTGTGTGATTACTGTTGGCTTGTAAGGATTCTGTCATGACACTACAAGTATCCTCTTGTCTGCATGACAGCACACCCAACAACCAAAAGACAGCCAGGCTGACTGATTAAGGAAAGAGAGGACTGACTCATGTCTCTGCTGCTGTTTGTTTATGGTCTAATAATCTCTCTGCCTCTACTTGTATTTTGATGTAATCTCTGACTCTCTGTAAAGTATGTGGTGCCAAAGAGGGAGGAGCAACACAGGAGCCAACGTGCACTGTACCATTACAGGGATGTGCCAGCTGTAAATGGTCAAATGCGAACATTTCTGAGGCTGCTGCGTCTGGAGGACAGGGGCGATAGGGGTTTATGGAAGCTTCTATGAGTGGTTGTCGGGGAGAGGGGGGGTGTCAAAAAGAGGAGAACAAAATGAAGGAAGAAGAAGGATGGAGAAAGATGACTGCTGTTTTTAGAAACGCCGGGAGCTGCTGACTCTCATGCTGCTGCTGCTGCTGATGCCG